ACGTGAGAGTTTAGGCAGATGTAACTGACTCTTTATCAGCCCAGAGAAAGTATGGGGTAAGTGGGGTTTGACTTCAATGAGGGGATTCCCCTTGTTGTTTTGACTTGGAACCTTACAAACGATATCCTGGTCTGTTCTTTACTTATGAAAATGTAATCTGCATTTCCTGGCTTTAAGTGTAAATCTGCTTTAGCAAAGAAGATTATAGTAATGATGTGATTATATTTGTTACATGAGACATTTTCTCATGGGGCAAGAAACACATATGAATGTGAACACGTTTTTGGGTAAGAGACTAGGAACCAAAGCAGGACTTTCAGTTTAACCACATACATAGGTCGCATCTGCATATGTAAACAGTGTTCGAACAAAACGTGAGGTATTGCCCCAAACGTTATAGTGAGAGCAATAATTCCAGCACTAGACCTCCTCTGTAACTCTAAACTCGTAACCTGTAAAGTTTTAAAGCATCACCTATGGAGATTTTTAAGTACCTTAGTTTGGTGCCATTCCACGAGCGTGCACAATTTTAAAGCATAACATGTTAGGTATCTATTTACTTGGTGTAACAACCTCTATTTTACCAAAAACTGGGTTATATATAGTGTTTTTTTGCATTAAAATTAATTAAAGTGTATTTTTTTCCCCAAAAAAATTGTGTTTGAAAAATTGCTGCGTAAATACCATCTGGACATAGGTAGAAGGGGTTGTTAATCAGTTTCAGCTGCTTTGGTGTAAATTAAATTAACAACAGGTGCACTAGATGGGTAACAATGAAACGACCCCCAAAACAGGAACGGTTTTACAGGTGGAGGCCACTGACATTATTTTCCCTACTCATCTTTTCTGACTGTTTTTCACTAGTTTTGCATTTGGCTAGGGTCAGTGTCACTACTGGGAGCATGAGGCGATACCTGGACCCTACAGAGGTTGCACAGGCAGTCCAACTCCTCCAGGATGGCACATCAATATGAGCCATTGGCAGAAGGTTTGCACAGTCTCAAGAGCATGGAGGAGATTCCAGGAGATGGGCAGTTACTCTAGGAGAGCTGGATAGGACCATAGAAGGTCCTCCTTTGTGCAAGGAGCAAGGAGGAACAGGATGAGCACTACAGAACCCTGCAAAATGACCTCCAGCAGGCCACTGATGTGAATGTCTCTGACAAAACAATCAGAAACAGAATTCATGAGGGTGGCCTGAGGGCCCGACATCCTCTAGTTGGCCCTGTGCTCACTGCCCGGCACCATAGAACTCGATTGGCATTTGCCATTGAACACCAGAATTATCAGGTCCACCACTGGTGCTCTGTGCTTTTCACAGATGAGAACATGTTCATCCTGATCACGTGACAGACATGAAAGGGTCTGGAGAAGCCATGGAGAATGTTATGTTGCCTGTAACATTCAGCATGACCGTTTTGGTGGTGGGTCAGTGATAGTCTGGGAAGGCATATCCATGGAGGAAGGCACAGACCTCTATAGGCTAGACAATAGCACCCTGACTGTCACTAGGTATCGGGATGAATCCTTGGACCCATTGTCAGACCCTACACTAGTGAATTGGGTCCTGTTTTCCTCCTGGTGAACGACAATGCCCACCCTCGTGTGGCGAGTGTATGCAGCCAGTTCCTGGAGGATGAAGGAATTTATAACATTGAATGGCCCCCATGCTTACCTGGCCTAAGTTCAATAGAACACCTCTGGGATATCATGTTTTAGTCCATCTGCACCTCAGACTGTCCAGGAGCTCAGTGATGCCCTGGTCCAGATCTGGGAGGAAATACCCCAGGACACCATCCGTCGTCCCATTAGGAGCATGCCCTGATGTTGTGAGGCATGCGTACAAGCACATGAGGGCCATACAAACTACTGAGGACCATTTTGAGTTGCTGCAATGAAATTTCAGCAAAATGGACTAGCCTGCTGCATCATTTTTTCACTTTGATTTTCAGGGTCTTTTAGAATTCAGTCCTCTGTAGGTCGACAATTTTCATTTCCATCAAATGATGGGGCATCCTTACGTTCCTAACACATTACCCAGTCCATATCAGTATAGATATCCAGCATTTTTCCCATTGAGATCTGATGTGTTTTCAAAGTGTTCCTTTATTTTTTTTGAGCTGTGTATAATTTTTGGGGGTTCTGAAAATGTTTCTAGCAAAGACAATGATGATTTTTACATGTAGGAGAGAAATTTCAGAATTGGCCTAGGTGAGAAATAGTTAAATCAGTTAAATACAAAAATGGAAAAATGGCACAGATTGCTGCAGAGAAGTACTCTTGTTCTTTTTGGAAGTAATGGTCCCTCTCCAGAGTTCTAACATACCTCCTGCTGAGTCAGTTAGAGCTCTCCGTTTAGCATGAGATTTTCTGATTACATAACTTTAGATCTGATTGAGTAGGGGATGACTTGGACTTCTGCAGAAACACCACTGGTTCTACATAAAGCAAGGGTCCTTCTCTACAGCATGTTGGCCGTGGTTAGCCTTTTGCTGTCAGGTTTTGACTGTTTTTGAAAGAGAACAAACTGTAGGACTTTGCATGTACTGTGTTTCCTTCTGGGATCAGACTGGGCTTCATGAGCAGTCCATTAATGGCTTATATGTGTACAATTAACACTGCGTGAGAAGCGCTGTCTATGTATTTGCTCAGTTATTATGCTTTGTTTTTTTAATTTGGAAAGAAAATTCAAATAAAAACTACTGAAACGGAAAATAATAAATAGGTTATACTCAGTCACATGAAGACTGAGATTGAGCTCTGCAGTCACTTTTGCAGCAGTTGTTTCCTTATTCCAGGTCACAATCCTGCAGAATGTCCTTTTGCCTCATCTGTTCAGTTGACCATGTCGACGGCGCTTATGCTTATCAGACGTTTTTCTGGAAACTGTGTATGCCGTCATAACCTTTGATACTGTACCTCGAGACATGGCAAATAAATTGTCAGCTTCAGTCACAGAGGCACCAGCTAAGCGGACACCAACAATTTTTCTTCTGTGAAGCTCAGTAAGCTCTGACATGACTCCATATTACTAGCAGGGTATCCAGTGAATGACGAAAGTGAAGCTTCCCACCTGTTAGCTAGGTGTCTCATCACACAGCAGAAGCACTTTTGCTTTCAACGTGAAACAAACATGTCACTTTCACTACTGCAAAATATCTAGTGTTTCCATTTTCTGTCTAACCCCTGTATATACTGTATATTCATGATAAGTACATACAGAAAAAGTATACTGTTTAGTATCTTAGTTTTTTATATATACAGTATTTTCACCACATTGCATGCAGTCCAGCAGCAGTAATAGTGATGAAAGTTGGGACAGGGATGACCATGCTAGGCATGCTTTTATCATTGCTGCAAATTTTTTTTTTATACACTTTAGTCCAAATCACTAAATCACTTCTGTTAGTGATCTATATTCAGTTACGAAGACAATCTGGTAGTTGCATTAATGCTACAAAGACTAGAGCTTCTCTGGTTTCTTTGTGGTTGGAAATGCTTTTATCAGAAGAGCAGATATGACTGTGGATCCAGCGAGTGGCAGCTTTAGGAGGGCCACAGCAGTGAAATGAGTAGTTTGTTTGCAATCTAATGAATAGGGGGCTTCAGCTTGATTGTTGCTTGAACACTGCAAATGACAGTTGGACCGCCAAATTCCACCCAGTCATTTGCATGTGAAGTCTTTTTGTTCAGGTCAGTGAGTTGGCCCTGTTATTCAAGAGGCAGTTAGAAAGGTTAGAACAACCTTCTAAATGCCTCTTTTAGAAGCCACCATGAATCCAATCTAAGGCTTCCTTCACACAAGGTTGTATGCATAAAAGCTTCTAACATTATGATGGATTTTCAGTCACCCTTACTCCGCATCTAGCATGCACTGCAGTCTTGAAGAACTAAAGGAACACTCAGAAAATGTAAGTAAGAATACAGGCTGAATTCCTTCATTTGAAGCCCATATGAGCTCAGCCTAATAAAAGCAGGTTACATTTAAAGATGAACTTCAGGCAAACAGCTAAATACACAAATAAAATACATATATGGGACCTATTTTACCTGCCATAGGTTTTGTAGTTCTGTCTATCCAGTCCTGAGATTTTCCACAAAATACAGCCTTGTCTGGCAGGGACCTGTTTGTTTTCTGGTACAGTTAAAAGAGTAGTTTGGCCAAAGCTTTTCTTGGTTATACTTCTCTTGTGGGCCACAGGAGTATAATTCCTTTTGTCTTCCTGTGATCCAGAGTCAGCTGATAGAGGGCTATTGCTGACGGTTCAGAGCTGACTCAGCCCCAGGAAGCAACCTGCCAGTATTGTCAGCATCCAACTTGCTACCTGATTGACAGCTGGTTCTGCCTTTCAGTGTGTCGCTGAAAGCCAGAGGCAGCCATTTCCTCCCCAATCAAGGACTCCAGTAAGTGCTGGAGGGGCAAAGCTAGAGCTCTTAGTAGACTGAGAACTAAGTGATCAGTAGTCATGTAATTACTCAGGTTTCGGTCTTAGGTTTCGGTCTTAGAGCCGACGTGGGACAGCGACAGCATCATACAGCTGCTGCAGCATGGAGGTGAGTAGGTATATTTATTTATTTTTTAAGTGTTTCTAATCTTAATTTTTTTGTTACCTTAACTAGCTGCCGACCGCAGATAGCCGAATGACGGCTACACTGCGGCCGGCCAGTTCTGAGTGGACGTCATATGACGTCCTCCCAGAAAGCGCTCTCCTGCGCGCCCCAGGGGGCGCGCCCCCGGCGATCTCCGTGATCGCTGTGTCCTACGGACACAGCTGATCACGTGATGTGGTAAAAGGCCAATCACAGCGGCCTTTTACCACGTAATCAGCAGTGTCCAATGACACGCTGATCAGAGGGAAATGCAAGTGCTGGTTCTCGGCTGCACTTTCCTCACGCTGTCAGATCGTGAGGAAAGTACTGCCGAGAACCGGCAGTTGTCAGAGCGGGGATCGGCACCGATCATCAGGGCACTGATGATCAGTGCCCTGATGATCGGTGCCCAGCAGTGCCACCCGCAAGTTCCGCCCACCTGTGCCCAGCAGTGCGCCCACTAGCTCCGCCCACCTTTGCCCAGCAGTGCACCCACCTGTGCCCAGCAGTGCACCCACCTGTGCCACTCTGCAGTGCCACCTACCTGTGCCCAGAAGTGCCACCTACCTGTGCCCAGCAGTGCCACCAACCTGTGCCCACCCACCTGTGCCCACCAGTGCCACCCACCTGTGCCCACCCACCAGTGCTGCCCACCAGTGCCACCCACCAGTGCAGCCCAGCAGTGCTGCCAGTCAGTGCCACCAGTCAGTGCCCAGGGGTTGTGCTAGTCAGTGCCGCCAGTCAGTGCCCAGAAGTGATGCCAGTCAGTGCCGTCTATCAGTACCCATCATCAGTGTCACCTATCAGTGCCGCCTATCAGTGCTGCATATTAGTGCCGCCTATCCGTGACACCTCATTAGTGCTGTCTATCAGTGCCGCCTATCCGTGCCACCTCATTAGTACTGCCTATCAGTGCCCTTTAGTGCTGCCTATCAGTGCCGCCTATCAGTGCCCATCAGTGCTGCCTCATCAACGCACATCAGTGAAGGAGAAAAAAATACCTGTTTGAAAAATTTTATAATAGAAACAAAGAAACTTTTTTTTTTCAAATTTTTTGCACTTTTTTTATTTATAGCGCAAAAAGTAAAGTGCCCAGTGGCGATTAAATACCACCAAACGAAAGCTCTATTTGTGAGAAAAAAAAAATTCATATGGGTAAAATGTTGCATGACCGCGCAATTGTCAATCAAAGTGCGGCAGCGCTGAAAGCTGAAAATTGGCCTGGTAAATAAGGGGGTATAAGTGCCTGGTAGGCAAGTGGTTAATGCATTCTGTGCATTAGGGTAAAACACCTTCCAACACCTGCCATCTCCCCCCATACCTAAACACTTACTTGAGTCCTCTAATGCTCCAGAACTGTTCCTTGCTGGAGCATCACTGCTCTTTCTTCCTGGTCTCACAGGAGTCACAGGAAGTGGTGGGAGCCATAAGCTGCTGTTAATGAAATCTTGTGAGGAGGGAGGGGGGGGGGGGGTGTATCCATGTCGCACTATGTGCATTTATGATCTATGAGCATGTGTACCCCAGAGCACGTGTTCCCTCAGAGCACATAGCTTGCTATGAGGACACCAGGAGCAAGAAGTAGCACATGTGGAGACACCAGAAAAGGAAGTAAGGGGCTGTTCTGTGTAATAATATTGCACAGGGCAATACGTATAGCGTATTTTATATTTTAACATAAAAAGCCTTTACAATCACTTTAAGCAATACTTACAGGTCTTGTCCCTCCTCCAGCCTGAGACTGGATGGTGAAAGGTGATGCAACAAACTGATGAGCTCATTTCACTGTTGCTCTGCTCACTCCTGCTATCAACATGTTCCTTGTTAGCACATAATCACTGCAACACACCTGATTGGCTCCTTGAGCTGCTTTCTCCCTGCACTGTCTAAGCTCTGCTGTACAGGGACTGCAAGAGGCTGATACCCGGTTAAGTTCAGGTAAACACACTGCTTGCAAAATATATTTGATGATGTTTTCATGAATACCGAGCTGCATTGCTTTGTGTCTTTTAACTTTGCCTGGTGATCCGCTTTAATCTGTAATTAATTATTATATTTTAGTGTGCATTTATGTGTGATTTATTACGTGTCACATAAATGCATAAACGTTCATGAACCACTGAACACCTATTTTCATTAGTTAGGTAGGTATGATACTGGCTCAGTGTAATTAGCTACAGTTTATTACTGCCTTTTAGGAAACGTGATTGTACAAAATAATAGATGGTATTTATAGATGGTGTGTATATATATATATATATATATATATATATATATATATATATACTACACGAGTTGCACTTGTCATATGGACATTCATCAGGTTACATTAAGATGCAATTATATATAATTCCGCAATTCCCAAAACTCATCACTGGGATGAAACTAAGTTTGATGGCTAGAGCACACACAGACATCCCATATAGATAACGTTAATTACAAGGTGTGCCTGCCCAATAAACTATTGCATTATTAAGCTAAAATAATACATTTAGGGCTGATCATATTTTTATCAAATGCTTTGAGCATTGTGTATGTTTACATTATTTCCTTTCACTTATGTTACATATACACTAAGAACACATCTCTAGCCCAGGTTCACATTTTATTGGTGCAAAGCCTGAAAACCAGTTTTTTGGAGAAAGAATGATGGAAATCACAGCTTGCAGAAGTTATTTCTGAAATAATTGCTGTCCAGTACTGCTTAATTCTTCTCCCGCTGTATTATTTATATTGATTCATAATTTATGTAAATGTTAAATTTTAATATATTAATATTTTATTAAATATAATATTATTATTATTATTATTATAATACAGGATTTATATAGCGCCAACAGTTTGAACAGCACTTTACAAAATGAAGGTAGACATTACAATTACAATACAATTTGGTACAAGAGGAAACAGAGGGCCCAGCTTGTTAGAGTTTACAATCTAGGAGGAAGGATTGAGTGATACAAAAGGTAATAGCTATGGGGGATAAGATGATGGAGAAAATAAAAGGCAGTTTACTAGTTAGAAGCTGAATAGGCTTCTTTAAAGAGAAAGGTTTTCAGGGATCATCTAAAGGTAGATAGATTAGGAGATAGCCAGACAGATTGGGGTAGGGAGTTCCATAGGATGGGAAAAGCTTAGGAGAAGTCCTGTAGGTGAGCAAGGGAGGAGGTGACACGGGAACTAGAGAGCAGAAGGTCTTGGGAAGATTGAAGAGAGCGGTTTAGTTGATATTTTGAGACCAGGTTGGTGATGTAGCTGGGGGCAGAGTTGTGGATGGCTTTGTAAGCTGTTGTTAGTTTTTTTAATTTTATTCATTGGGCGAGTGGAAGACAGTGGAGGGATTGGCAGAGAGGGGTAGCAGTATGATATGTCGCTCAGCAGGTGTGTGATTCGGGGGGAGACCGAGGGGGTGAGGTGGGGGGTTGAGAGATAGATTTGTGTGTCGTCGGCATAGAGGTGGTAGTTGAAGCCGTGAGAGTGTATGAGTTGGCCAAGGGAGGAGGTGTAGATGGAGAAGAGAAGGGGCCCGAGGACAGAGCCTTGAGGGACCCCAACAGAGAGGGGGAGTGAGGGGGAGGTGGTAGCATTATAGGTAACGCTGAAAGAGCGTTGTGACAGGTAGGATGAGAGCCAGGAGAGAGCAGAATCTCTGTGGCCGAGGGAGTGTAGTTTTTTGAGGAGGAGGGGGTTGGTCGACTGTGTCGAAGTCCACAGAGAGGTCAAGGAGTAGGAGCACTGAATAGTGGCCATTAGCTTTGGCGGTTAGCAGGTCGTTGGAGAGTTTGAGTAAGGCGTTTCGGTGGAGTGTAGGGGACGGAAGTTGGACTGTAGGGGATTGAGGAGGTTGTTGTCATTGAGGTGAGAGCATAGGCGGGTGTAGACTAGGCGCTCGAGGAGTTTAGATGTAAATGGGAGCAGGGAGATGGGTCTGAGGTTGTTCGGGTCATTGGGGTCCAGGGAGGGCTTTTTAAGTATGGGGGTGATGTGTGCATGTTTCAGAGGGGAGGGGAAAGTGCCGGAGGAGAGGGAGAGATTGAAGATGTGGGTGAGGGAGCGTAGGATGGAGGGGGAGGGAGGTCGTAGGAGTTGTGAGGGGATAGGGTCGAGGGGGCAGGTGGTGAGGCGGGCATCAGAGTGGATCTTGGAGACTTCCTCGATGGTAGTAAGGTCAAAGGTGCGGAGTGTTGGGGGAGCTTCAGTATGAGGAATGTAGGGTGGGGTGGAAGAGGAGGTCAGAGCAGTGGTGGGGCCGTGGGAGAGGGGTGATGAGGGGGTAGCTGAGTGAGGAGGAAGGGGGTTGGAGGGAGTTTGAGCAGCGACGAAGTCCCTGCGGGTTATGTCAAGGGGGAGAAGGATGAGGGGGTAGCTGTGTGAGAGGGGATGGGTTGAGAGGGCGTGTGAGTGGCGATGTCCTTGCGAATTGTGTCAATCTTGTTTTTTAAGTGATTGGCAATCTCAAGGGCAGTGAGTGAGGTGCTGGGTGGAGGTGGGGGTGGCGAGAGTAGAGAGTTGAAGGTGAAAAGAGTCGGCGAGGATTGGAGGAGAGGGCCTTGATGAGGGCCAGGAAGTAGGCTTGTTTGGCAGCGTGGAGGGAGAAGGTGTAGGTGTGGAAGGCAGATTTTGTAGCGGGTGAAGGCTTGTTGGGATTTGGTTTTGCGCCATAGTCGCTCCAGGGTATGACTGTGTCGTTTGAGGGTTTTGGTGTGATCAGTCTGCCAGGGCTGGAGCGGTCGGGGTCTGATGTTGCGTGTGGTTAAAGGCGCTAGTGAGTCAAGGGCTGTTGAGAGCGCGTTGTTGTAGGCGGTCATAGCCAAGTCGGGGCAGGACAGGGGGAGGATGCTGTCGTGGAGTTGATCAGCTGCAGAGTGGAGGGGGGTAGGGTTAAGGTTGCGGAGGTTACGGCTGGTAGTAGTGTGACATTTGGAGGGGTAGGCGTTGGAGGACGAGGAGATAGAGAAGGTAATCAGGTTGTGGTCAGAGAGAGGGAAGGGGGTGTTAGTGAGGTTGTGGGGAGCGCAGCGGTTGGAGAAGACAAGATCAAGGATATTACCGTCAGAGTGGGTGGTGGATTGTATGCACTGTGCAAGTGCAAAGGAGGAGGTTAAGTGGAGAAGACGGGCTGTGTCCAGGTTGTCGAGGTTGACAGGGATGTTGAAATCCCCAAGGATGATGGTGGGTAGCTCAGAGGAGAGGAAGAAGGGTAGCCAGGAGGAGAAGTCATCCAGGAATCGGGGTATGGATCCAGGAGGCCGGTATATCACAGCAATCTTTCAGGGGGGTTGGGGAAAATAGTCGGACGCAGTGGGCCTCGAAGGAGGAGAAGGATAGGGAGGGGGGGTTTGGGAGGACTCGGAGGGTGCTCGAGTTGGTGAAGATGCCAGTAGAAAGGGAGATTGAAGATATGAGTTAAAGAGTGAAGGATAGAACCAGAGGGTGACCGTAGTATTTGCGAGGAAACAGGGTCCAGGGGACAGATGGTTAGGTGGGCTTTAGAAAAAAGTTAACCAACCTCCTTTATAGTAGCTGGGTTAAACAAGGGAAGTATAGATTGTGCTGGTGGACAAGGAGTTTAGGGTGAGGGAGATATCTGTACAGTACAGTAGTGATCTCCTTACAAATTGTATCAATCATATATATATATAATATATATATATATATATATATATACAGTTGCAAGAAAAAGTATGTGAACCCCTTGGGATTACGTGGAGTTTTGCATGAATT